AAATTTGGGGGGGAGAGAGAGAGAGAAACATCAGTTTGTTCCACTTATTTGATTCTTATGTGCTCTAACCAGGGATTGAACCCACAACCTTGGCATATCAGGACTATGCTCTAACCAACTGAGCTACCCAGCCAGGGTCTATATAAAATTTTGCCTGGCAAAAAAACATCATAAGTCAAAAGAAAACTGGGAGAAAATATTTGCAGCTTAAAGCACATGAAATAGATAATTTCCATCATAGATAAATAACTCAAAAAATAGAGTATTGAAAAAGTCAGTCACAAAAGATCAGTCATTATATGATAAAATGTATATGAAACATCCAGAGTAGGCAAATTTATATAGACAGTAGATTAGTGGTCAGCTAGGGTTGGGAGGGGTATGGATGGGAGGTGGGAATGAGGGATGACTACTAATTGGTATGAGGTTTCTTTGGGGGTTACAATGTTCCAGACCTGGCCAGGTATCTCATTTGTTAGGACGCCATACCCATATACCAAGGATGCAGGTTTAATCCCTGGCCAGGGGCCCATAAAGAGTCAGCCAATGAATGTATCAATAAGTTGAGCAACAAACTGATGTGTGTGTGTGTCTCTCTCTCAAATCAACTTGAGCCCCGATTGGTGTGGCTCAGTTGGTTGGGCATCGTTCTGCAAAGCGAAAGGCTGTCAGTTGCATTCCTGGTCAGCGCACATGCCTTGATTGTGGGTTTGGTCCTGGGTTGGGGTGTGTAGGAGAGGCAACCAAACAATGTTTCCCTCTCACATCTATGTTTCTCTTCCTCTCTTTCTTCCTCCCTTTCCCCTCTCTCTAAAAAAGTCATTGAGATACTAAGCCTTCTCCCATCAGTGCCTACAGAACTCAGAAGATGTGCAGAAGAGAAAGAGGGTAAAGGGTTGCATAGATTTTTATGGGTCAGACCTAGAGGCTGATGTATTTTAACTTCCACCCCCATATCATTGGCTAGGATGCAGGTATATTACGACATCTAACTGTAAAGGAGGCTAGGAAATGTTGTGTAGCAGTTGGGCACAGAAGGAAGAATTAATATGTCTGGATACCAGTTAGCCAGTCCTTCATGTCCATAACTATTTTCCTCACAATCTATAACTTTAAATGGAGAGGGCAAAGATACATAGTTATGCTCTATTAGTTAGGACACATATTTGGCTACTGTAACAGAGACAAACCAAATCAAACCACAGTAACTTTAACAAGATACAGGGTTTTTGCATAATAATCTGAGCAGAACATTCCAGGGTTGATATGGCAGTTCCATAATGTCAGGTACCCAGAAGCTCCCTGTACATTGTTTTGCTTTCCTTAATACCTGCCTGTGTTCCTTATCACCTAAGATGACAACTTTGCCCCTCCCCATCCTTTGTGCCCACATTCTGGCAAGCTGGGAACAGGAGTAGAAAAAGTGGAAGGCATGTCCCTTCCCTTTAAGGACACAACCCCAAGTTCCCCATGCCACTTCTGCTTGCATTCAGTCAGTCAAAAGTTAGTAACCTGGCTAGGATGGATGTTGATAAACATAGTTATCACCTGAGGGCCATGTACCCAATTAAATTGTGGGAGTTCTTTTACTAAAGGAGCAAGAGGAAGATAGGTAGATTTTAGGGGACAACCAGTGTTTTCTGCCACAGTCCATCCCTTCATCATTCAAATAGTTATGCACAACTTCTCCCATTCTTACCCCACATACCAGTCAGGGTTCAGTCAGGGAAGTAGAGCTGTTATGAATAATAGAGGAGTATGTCTATTCCTATTATGCACTCTTGAACTGGAGATATAATCAGGATTTGGGCTCAGGAATACATTAGGCTCACTCTGCAACAGACCCAAGTGAAAACTCCACTAAGCACCTACATAAGACTCTACTTTCACTAGAACACAATGACATTTTTGAGTCTCTAAGAATTATTATCAGTTAAGAGCCAGGGTCACGGTAATCCCTGCAAAATCTGGTTATTTTCCCTTCTCTAGTACACACTCACCTTAGTCAGTGATTACAGGCTCCTTTCAGAGGATCAGAAAAAGAGAACTTAGAACAATTTTCCTGATGCATTGGTGGAGGTGGACAAGTTGGGGGATAGCTGAGAAACCAAGCATGTCTGCCTGATAGACGGTAATGTGAAGACTTCAAGGAGGATTCAATGCGGAGCAGTTGCTTCTACAGTTACTCCTCTGTGGGTCTGCAATCAGACATCCAGTTGTGGCCTTGGGGTTGTTGGTAGTCAGCAGGGCCAGCAGTTGGGCAAAACAAGCTAGATGTAGGTGGAGACTGAGGACAAACTGAGATGTAGGGAACAATGTTACTTACGATAATAACCTTTTGAGAGTAATGGCTACCACTTCACTCCTGCCTAAATATCTTACAAATTCCTATTTTGGTTAACTCTAACAAAGTACCACATAGGGAAGAGGATTTGGAGAAACAGTTTCCAAACCAGCACACTTAGTCTGCCAAATATGTGTAGCTCAAAGGTCAAGATCCCTAGGAGTCTTGCTATTTGTTGTGCATGTGACTGGTCATGATTCCTGAATTTACACCCTCACCTTCTCTCTACTCCAACCCCACCATACAACAATACCGTAGACAGCTAACTATAATAAGACACAATGGATCAAGAATAAGATTGGCATTTGACTTCTCAAGAGCAATCCTGGAAACTAGAAGATGATGTAAGGATGCTTTCAGAAGTCTGAAAGAAGATTTATGCTTCTGGTCATGACACAGTAACTGGTTCCACACTGCTTCCAGATAAAATAACTGGTTCCCTTCCATTATGGATAAATAGGAAATGAGACAAAATATCTGAAAACTGTTTTCATACAGTGGTAATGAGAAGCAGGGTTTTGGAGATGATAAACATCTCCAAATGTGTAGCATAGCTCAGACAAAAACTGTTCATCTCAAAATGCCAGTTATTCTCCCTTGAATACACTGTATTAGAATTACAGGTTATATCAGTGATAGTGACAGAAATATTGTCCAAGATTTTGAAAGCAATCATTTCACCAAAAAGGTGCTATGGCATGACAAGAGTCATTAGCTTTCAGTTTCTGGTTTGCTATTTTGGGGTTGTCACAATTACCATCACATATTTCAGGTTTTATTATGTTAGCACCTCACCTGTCAATACTAAATTATGAGTTGTAACATACAGTTTTGGCTGCTACAGTAAAAGCAGAAATAGCAGTGATTTAAAAAAGGTAAACATTTATTTATCTGTCATGTAACACTCCATGTATTAAGCAACAGAAACTGATAAAATGGCTCTACGGTGTCAGGAACCTGGGCTCCTCCCATCTTATTGCTATGCTATCTTCAACATAGGGCCCCTCCCTGTCTTGTAGTAAAGATGGCTGCTCCAGCACCAACTAGCGTATCTTCTTTCAGAAAGGAGAAAAGGAGAAAGAGAAGGCATGCCTCTACTCTTTAAGGGCACAATCCTTACATTCCATAACCCAGCCCCTAGTCACACCCCTTGTAAGGGAGGATGGGTATTGCAGCCTTTAGCCTTGTGGCTATGTGCTCAGCTAAAACTCAGGAACTCTCTTAGTGAAGGAATATTTGGAAAATAAGTATTATGGAACAAGTACTTTATGCCACAAATGTCTTTCATGAAAAGAACTTCTATGAGATAAAACAGGAAGAATCTAAGGAGAACCAATTCCAAAGGGTAAAAATGAGAGGAAGAAAAAGAAAAAGAAGAAAATATCTGCTTTCCAGTGAAGGAAATGATTCCAGCCTTAGATACAAAAATGAGAAATCCTGTGGAACTGATATTTCTTTTCATTTTGTCTGTCATAAAAGTTCCTACTTCCATTTTAAAATCCCATTGAATGTCACTCCTTTGATATCCCCAAACATTTTGTTTATATATCCTTTGGCACTTGCCATGCTGTAGGTCATTCCTACCTTTATAAGTCATTCAAGGTGACTCTGTAGTAGTAGTAAAATAGTTAAGAGCAGAGCCCCTGATTCTGGCCTATTTATAGGCAGGATTACCTGGTATTTGAGATTTACTTTAAAATACAACAACAAAAAATAAAAAGGGGGAACTAGATGAAACAAGACTGACAAAATGTTGATTTATTGAGGCTGCATGATGAGTGCCTGGGTGATCATAATACAGTTTTTTATCTATAGTGTATGTTTAAAATTTTTCCATAATAAAACAAAAGACTTGTCCCTGGAAGAACACTCAGACCGTGTCTGAAACCCTGGTTTCACCATTTACTGGCTGAGTGACGTGACCTCTCTATTAAGTTCACTTTCTCAAAGTGGGAATAATGTATGGGTCATTAGGGTTCTCGTAAAGATTAAGTGAGACAGAATTTGAGACATCTAGCACAGGTTGGCCTTTAGTGGTTTAACTAATAAAAGTGCTTGCCTGCAAACAACAGAAACTGACTCTGGTTATAGCTAATCTGCACCCCCCCCCCCCCCCCCCATGCAGATACTACCCGGCAGAGGTAGAACTTGATCTTGGACTTTCTATTTCTAGACCTAGAGTTTCGTGCTTTGCAATTTATGCCTTCCAACACGCAAGAACATAGTTTGGGCACACGTCTGTAACTTAGAACACTCGGGACTGCAGGGTGGTCATGGGCAGAGGTGACTCACTGACTTTAAGAGGCCTGGCTGCTGGTGTTGGTTGTTAAGTGAATGCTGGTACAGTACGGGGCTGAACTCAGGCAGGGCGGATTGAACTTAAGCGTGTACCGGGCCTCACTCACTCCCAGGGTGCGGTCGGGTGGGCAGACCATCGCTGGGCCCCAGCCGGCTTGCCTGACCTGGTGCCAGCCCTCCCACCTTCCTCGGAGTCCCAGCGGAGTCCCAGCGTGTATCCTCCCAGTATTCCTGCTCCAAGGGTTGGTCTGGTCTCGCTTCCTCCCCGTCCTCCGCGGCGGGAGGCGGGGGCCTCAGATTCGTGGCTTGTGATTGGCCGAAGCATCGGGCGCTCCCCTTTTTCGCCCCTTCCAGCGAGGTGAGAGGTCATCCTAGCCTCCGTCTGCTGGAACGACAATGGCGGCGCTTTGGGTGAGCGTAGGGTCGCTGATAGCGGCAGGACGGCGTGGGCAGCGATTCCCGCAGCAGCTGATGCAGAGAGGAGCGCTGTGGACGCTGAAGGTGAGGTGCGACGGGGCTCCCCGCGGGCCTGGGCTTCACTGGGCGCCCTGCCCCGCTCCTTCTGGCAGTGGCCAGGGCCGCGGAGAGCGCCCGGGTGGCTGCCAGCCGACACCCAGGGCCCGGATTCCTGGGTGGTGTGGGCCCCTAACTCGCTCTCCCTCCGGAGTTCGCGTTCGAGCGGGGCAGAGCAGGAGTCTGTCGCTGCAGCTGGTAGTCGGAGGATCGTGGAGGGTAGACGGGCCCAAGGAGCCCGCTGACTTGTTTTCTGCCCTCTCTCAGGGAATGGCTGACAGATCTCTGTGGCAGTAATGTACCTGCATTTCCTTTGCTGCTTAAGGTTTTGGCTTGTCTTTAGCTTTTCAGTATGTATTTTTAATGGTCCTTACAGTTTCCCTTTTCTTTTGCCTTATCCTTTTTTTTTTGAAGGGACACTGTGTATTGCTGCTGAAATAGAGTTGTAAGTTTAACTCAACTTTTAAAAAGTATTGTACGATGTCAAGATTGTTACTGTTTTTAAGTTTGAATTGAAAGCCTTTTAAAATTATATTACAGCATTTTGTATACAACATTACAGTATACAGCATACACATCCTGTGAATTAAATTTTCTATGTAGTGGTCAGCCTGATTTTTATACTTTTCTAAAACACATTTAAAACACGTTTTCACCACTGTTCAGTATGTCCTGGGGTTTCATGGTGGCAGCCTTGACTCATATGTTGAAGTGTTTGTGTGTGGCTGTTAACACTTTTCTCAACATGGAGTCTCATAATTTCTGAGCAAAGACTTCCTAACTTACTTTATTAACAGGGTTTATTAAGTAACTTGAACAAATTCTTTAAAATGAAGGTCTCCCTGAAAACCACCTGCCATATAGTTCAGTCTACTTGTTAAACTTCCTTTAATAAATATTAAAAAAATTGAAACATAACTTGACCTACTGTCATTGAAATTTAGACTTAGAAGACGCTTTAGAGGTTACCTGGCCCATCTTACTTTTTTTAAGGAGAGGGAATCCAGGTGAGCAATATGAGAGGTGGAGCTGCTCATGACATTGGAAGTAAGCCTGCACCTGTATTGACTTTCTGACTTGTGTTAATTTTGTGTTAACTTCACAATGCCCTCTCAAAGAACACAGTGTTCTAGTGTTGGCACACAATTTATTGTTTTGTAATTTTTATTGTTTAAAAATTTTTAATTCTCATCCGAGGTTTATTTAATGATTTTAGAGAGACAGGAAGGGAGAGAGATACATTGATTGGTTGCCCTCTGTAAGCACCCTATCCAGGGATTGAACTGACAACCTAGGTATGTGCCCTGACCAAGGACTGAACCTGCAACCTTTTGGTGCATGGAATGATGTGCCAACCAACTGATCCACCCAGCCAGGGCCATAATTTTCGTTGTTTTTAATCTTTTAATCTTTCTTGGCCACATCAATAGCAGTTGCAAGATTGTTACACATTTACACAGTAGGCAGCATGGTGTAGTGGAAAAGTATGGGTGTTGGACTCATCATATAGGTGAAGTTTTGTATGATATTAATTAGACAAGTCATTTTGCTTCAGCTGTTATTTTCCCCCAATAAATCTTTAATGGCACTTCCTCTGTCTTATGGAGAGGTCCTGGTACTATGAGAAAATAGAAGAGAGGAACTTGACCAAGTCAAGATTTTGAGCTCTATGTCCTAGATACTGTTATGATGTTTTACTTTAATTAATTTATTCATTCCTCACAACAACCACATAATCCCTTATACAGATGAAGACATTGATGCACAGTATTTTGCAACTTGCTCAAAACGACAGAACTAGTAAGTGGCAGAGCTGGGGTTTAGGACTCCAGGACCTGTGCTCTTAATCATACTGTACTTCCCAAGGTAAGAGAGTTTTTCCTTTTTAAGTAAAACAAAGTTTGAAGGAGAAAGTGACTTTTCAAGGCAAGGAGAGAAGATGAGTCTTATATGTGAGAGAACATCACGCACAAAGGTCCTGTGGCCAGAGGGAATGACAAGATAGAATTGAGAAAAATCTGAGACTCAGGTACAGAGACTAGACGGTGCTAGAGAGGTATGAGTCAGATCCTGTCGGGCCTCGTAGACCATGCTATTAGGTTTGGTCTTTATCTTATAGCAATGGGAAACCATGTAATGTATTTTAGAGGCTGAGAGAGAGGAAAGTTGTTACTGTAATTACTGCTATACACTTGTTATGCACTTACTGTAGAATATCAAAGCTTTGATTTTTCTTACCCCACTTCTTCCTTTCAATGTGTTGGCAGAGACTGCATCTTATCTATTCCTGTGTGCTTAGCATAGTGCTTGACATAGTAAGTGCTGCTGAATGTGTGATGATACTGACTGGAGAAGGGAGTTGCTTTGGCCGGTAAAGAATTCCTCCTGAAGGTGGAAACAATCCCTGAAGTTCACGATTGCCTAAGGGGAAACTGAGCTGCTACTTAGTTTCTCTCCTTGCTTCTCATAAGAAAACTTGAAAGGCGCTCCACTGAGTCTTTGAAGTAGAGATTTTTGAAGAATTTATGCCTTCCATTTGTCCCTTCACCTCTGCAGGCCATTTGCTTGGTTATTGTAGAAAGCAGCTGCTAACTCTAGTCTAGAGAATTTTAACCATTCATTTAGCCGATTGGCAGAATTGGCTTGCACCTAGGGTATATATAGAGTTCTCTATCTATCTATCTATCTATCTATCTATCTATCTATCTATCTATCTATCTATCTATCTGTCTATCTATAATCTTCACCCAAGGATATGTTTATTGATTTATCTATCTATCTATCTGTTTATAATCTTCACCCAAGGATATGTTTATTGATTTTTAGAGAGAGAGAAAAGGGGCAAGGGAAGAGAAAGAGAAACATCTATGTGAGAGAGAAAAACATTGATTCATTGTCTCCCATATGTACACCGACCAAGGATCAAACCTGCAATGTAGGTCTGTGCCCTGAACAGGAATTTAACCTGCAAACTTTTTTTTGTGTACATGGAGACACTCCAACCAACTGAGGGACCGGCCAGGGCTGTAGAATTCATAATTTATTTGTTTTGTGCATCAGATTTTATTTCTTATTTTTAATGTTTTGTTCTTTTTAATTTAATATTTTGGGTTTTTAAGATTTCATTTATTTATTTTTAGAGAGGGCAAGGGAGAGAGAAAGAGAGAGAGAAACATCAATGTGTGGTTGCCTCTCCTGTACCCCCTCCTGGGGACCTGGCCTGCCACACAGGCATGTGCCCAGACTGGTAATTGAACCAGTGACCCTTTGGTTCACAGGCTGGCCCTCAATCCACTAAGCCACACCAGCCAGGGCTGTGTATCAGCTTTTAAAAGCATTCTATTTAAATACTCAGTTTTTATTTGTCTACCTTTTTCAGTGCTCCAGGATATTGGGTTTTCAGTAATTGCTGGAGTTTATTGAACTTTTACGTTGGTGAGACCAATTTATGGCTCCTTCAACTCACAGTTTTGGGGATAGTTTCTTCTTTGAAGCAGAATGCATCCTGATAAGGAATTAACCTGTTAACAGAATTATTTTAATAATTACTTGAATGCCACTGTGTGTATGGTAAACAACAGTAGTTTTTTGCAGAACTAGTGTTCAAATTATTCTTTAAGATAATTGCTACTAAATATATCAGTTTGGGCCTGTCATGTGAGGTCATGTTTAGAATGTAAAACTAGGTGTTATCTTAGTTTAGAAAAGGGTATTCATTTCCCTGTTTGCAATGGCTAGAAGACATGCATCTAGTTTGTCTAAGAAGTGTACATTCTCCCTCCTCTTTTTGGTTAACAGTTATTATATGCTTACTGTAATATATGCAGAACTGTGGTAGGCATTTTACACATTTTCATTTAATCCTCATAGTAGCCTATATCCTAGGTAAGTACTGTTATCATGCCCAGTTTGTATATGAGGAAATTTCCTTTATATTAAACAAATGTTAGAGCCAGCATTCAAACCCAAGTCAGAATCTGTCTGAGTCTAGAACAGAGCTCTTAATTACTGTATTACTCCTTTAATGCTAACTTCCAAATGGTCTGGTATAATTTTAAGAAAGGACATTTTCCCTGCGCAATTGGACTTAATTTTTATGTAATTAAATTAATTCCTTGGTGCTTTACAGTTTATAAAGGCTCATTTGATCCTTTTAACAACTCTGTAGGAATATGGGAGGTGTAGAAAACCAGACAGAGTCTAGAGGAATGATTTGCTCAGTGTTGCATTGCTATAACGCAGTGGAGCAAGGAGTTGATCCAAGTCTTCTGACTCTGAAGGTCATGCTACTTCCCATGTGTTAGCAGGCATTTCCTTTCTAAGTGTGGAAAACATAGGAAATCTTTATTCTTGCAGGAGAGAATCAATGCAATATGCTATGGGGAAGTCATTCTGTGTATGCTGACCTTTCTTTCTCCTTTTGGTTGTGATAGGCAATGTAGTCTTTATAAATAAATGGAGTTCGTGAAAGTTTTTCCTTAAACTGCTGTTGCTAGGAAGTATTTTAAAAGAATTTTGGACTGGGCTCGTAGCCAGTTTCTTATATGCTTAACAAAAACAATAAACATTAAAATTCTATGTGTAAGTCCAAATTAGCAAATTTCTGCTAACTTGTTCCATGCATTAAAAAAATTGTTATAACTCTACAAAATTGTCCGATCTTTGAACTGTGTTCTTTACAACTTTGAATTTCCATGGAAGTGCAACAGGAGTAAACAGGAACAAAGAAAACTTTTATAGGCCGAGTACAAACCAGTTCAGGCTCACTGTGGGAAAGCCCCAAACCCTTGTTTCTCCATAGTAGTTGTCCTGCTGTTATAGTTTTGTCTGATTGTACCATTCCTACTTCTAGTTACTTGGCTAACCAGGGGCATCCATGTTTTTAAAAATTTGGGGCCACATTATCACAAATTCACATGTGTACAAACTACATGCTTTCTTTTTTGATAATGGTGGTAAAATATGATAGTCTAATAGATCTTCAGAACCAAGTATTTATAAATACTAATAAGATTCCAAGAAAAACAGTTTGAGCAATTATAATGTTATTCATCTATGTTTTGTTATAACAAAACATCTATGTTATAATGTATAATTGTTAATCATCTATGTTTTGGCCAGTTGTAACTTATTATAGAGTTGATTTAGTTTTAAGAAGTGTGTGGTACAGATGTTTTATGTTATTGGTAGTTTTCTGAAAGTAAATACATTGAATCAGCTGACCCAAACATTTCTTTGAGCTTGGCCACTTAGACATTTCTGAATCTTTCTGCGATAGAAACTGTCTCCCAGTAGGCCAAATTTAGCTTAGTCCATTCTTCATGAGTTCATCTAATGAGATAGAGCCCTGAGGTTTTTATACTGGAAACTTAATGCATAACGTATATTTATAAAACTCTATGTACCGTTGTCCCTTGAACAACGTGTGTTGAACTGCTTGGGTCCATTTACACTCAGATTATTTTCAGTAAACGCAGTTGGTTCTCTGTGTGAGGGTTTTGAATCCATGGATTTGACCGAATGCAGATTGGAAACTATTTTTGCATTCCCAAGAACAGATGGAAAACATCTGAGGTTGGCTGAATCCATGGATGCCAAGCACAGACTGTAGAGTCAAAAGTTAAGTGGATATTTGACTGCGCAGGTATGGGTGTCCCTAACCTCCATGTTGTTCAAGGGTTAACTGTAATTAATGTTATTTTCACCACATAGCTTTGAGTATTTGTTGGTTTGTTATTCTCAGAGTAGTTGAACAGCAGGTGAGATCTGTGTCACCATCTTCTTGGCCCAAATGTTGAGTTTGGAATAACTGCATCCTTTAATCCTCAAATGCTTGCTCACCTTGGATAGCCTGTACTTAGCTTTTGTTTTTTGAGTAAGTGGTTTAGGTTAGTAAGGGACCTTAGAGAAAAGTAATCTCATCTTGAATTTTTTAGCAGAGAGCAGAGGGGTTAAAGTGGTTTGCTCAATTCATAGAAATAGTGTCAAGCTCAGCTAGGATTAGCATTGAGGTTCCCTGACTTTCTTTCCCACAGTTCTTTCCCAGGTGGTATGCTGCTTTTTGAAGTATTCTCTTCCCCAAAGGTAAAAACAGCACTGTTTATTCTCACTCTCCAAAGCTAATTAAAATACCTAAAATGTCTATTCCAGATTGTGTTTTGTCTCTGGAAGACTCACAATTCATTTTTGCCACCAGGAATCAGTTTTACCCTTTATTTGTTAAAGATTAAATATACATGTATGGCTTTAAAAAAAAAAGATACATACTTTTTAGAGAGGGGAAAGGAGGAAGAAAGGGAGGGAGGGAAACATTGATGTGTGAGAGGTTCATCATTTGGTTGCCTCTCACGCACCGTCAACTGGAGACCTGGCCTGCAACCCAGTCATGTCCCTGACTGGGAATGGAACTGGGAATCGAACCAGCAACCCCTTGGTTCGCAGGCTGGCACTCAATCCACTGAGCAACACCGGCCAGGGCTGATTTTTGCCTTTTGACAGCTTTCTGCAACAGGCTATTATGTACCTTACAGCATTAGGGAGAAATTGTAAAAGTGTGAACTACTTTGTGTTTCATTTTATAAAATTGATAAGAAGCTGGTATGCTATTTACTTCCCTGTGTAAAATAGGCTAGTGCTACCTTGTAGCAGAATAAATGTGAGAAATTCTCCAGTAGCTTTTGCTTCTCATTCCTCAAGTTTATTTTCTTCATTGGCTGAGGCTATAAACACAAGGCATGATTTTTAGGGAAAGGAATATTGTTTGGCCTATTAACTTTGATGTAGGAGAAAAGTTGCTGAATTATAACTCTTCTGCTAAAGGCAGTGGAAGACTGAATTTTTATTTGAACACAGAGGAAGTGGTGAGACCCTCTTGATAAATTGTTGTTTTTTTCACCCCAATCATGTCTTTATGTAGACATTAGTGTTACAGTGGGAGGTGTCACAATTTTTAGTACCTCAAAATAAAAAATTTTACAATGCTTTTAACAGGCCTATGCTTAAATCTTATAACCGTTGCAGCCTAGCCCAATGACTTTTGAAAAATCAAAATTCTCCAGACTCAGTTTTCTCATTTTTTAAATTGAGGCTAACACTCTTGAATTTATAAGAATGCTTGGAGGAATATGAGAATAAGTTTTGGTCTTTAAAAGGAACACAATGCGGTGGGGGAGGAGAGGGGTATAAGGGGACTAAATAGCAATAAAAATATACAAAAATAACAGGGACAATAAGAAAGTCAATTTTCTTCTCATTTTCAGCTCATTTTTCTTCATTAGTCTTTCACTTTGTAGTGTAGTCTTTATTTTGTAAAGTGTATCTTTTGTATCTATTACTTTCACTTTTGTATAGAGATTACATTTTAGAATTTGATGATATTTTGAAATGTAATTGTATAAATCTTTGGGTTCATTTTAAAATGTTAGAAAAAATATTTTGCTTCTTATTTGACTTGTTACCCATTTAGAAAGTTTTATGCCTTTGCTCCCCCTCTCCTTCCTTTTTGTGTCTCGCTTTATCACTGACTGTTGGGTACATTGTTTTCTTAAACCTTGCCTATAATTTTTATTAGTGGTTATTCTTAATGTTTTAAGTCCTTAAGATATGTTTTCTTCCAACAAACATTTAAAAATAATGAATTAGAAGTGAACTTGATTTCTAATATTACCTTTTCACTTTTTAAAAAAGGTTTTATTTATTTTTAGAGAGGGGGTAGGGAGGGAGAAAGAGAGTAGGAGAAACTTTGATGTTAGAGAGAAACGTCGATCGCCTCTCATACATGAGCCTGCAACCAGGAATTGAATCAGCGGCCTCTTGCTTTGCAGTACTATGCCCCACCCAACCAACTGAACCATACTGGCCAGGCCCTTTTCTTCAAATTTTATTTGATCCATTGATTCATACTTGTCTGGAGATTGTTCTGATGCTTTGGTTTCTCTTATGTGCCAAGGGGATGTGTTTGTAGTTGTGATTTACCTTTCATAGTTATGGCTTATTGCTTATAACTACCTATATAGATTAATAAACATTTTAGCCAAAAGCATACTGGAAGAATTACCCTGAAAAATTTCTTTTTGAAGCACATTCAAATATCTGTAATTTATTTCACTTTCTTTTTTGTAGTATGCTTCATACTATTCAAGACAGCAATTAATGGTGACCCGTAGACTCTGTTCAGCAGAATGTTCTAATGAAAAAGTAAGTATTCAGAGAAATATTTTCAACAGCTAAGTTGTAATGGTTTTATTTTCTTGTTTTCACACTCTGTTCAGTGGACAGATTAAGTTTTATTAATGCTCTGTTATGATTTCTTGCTCTAACATCATAGGTTTCATGTGTGTTCAGTCTTTGCTCCTTTTATGTTACAGGCTACAACCTAAGTCTTTAATTTTATATTTGTATCTATGCCACAAATTGAATAAATTTATAATATGTTTCCCTTGTTTTTAGCTGAATAACTAATACAACCCTTTTTATCAAAGACCGGGTAGTTGAGGGATTTGAAACTATTGGTTTTTTTCATTTACTTGATATGGTATTTTGCCATGTATAATGAGCACCCATGTTTTTGGTGCAAACTTTCAGGAAAAAAAATCTTTATTTTTAATTTTTAAATTTATTTATTTATTTATTTGCATTTAGAAACAAAACCGATTATAGTATCCCAGAGTATTATTTTGCATATGGATAGCTTTAGTACATTCTGGAGTTACACTTTTAATGTGTAAACATAAATAAAAGAATTAAAAACATTTATATAGATACGGAATTAGGGTTACCCATGTATAATGTGGATCCTTATTTTTCCTCAGAAATTTGGGCAAAAAAGTGTACATTATACATGGCAAAAGATGGTACTTTATTGGATAGTGTAGGTCCATGAGTTAGCTCTGATAAACTTTCTGTTATAAAATGTATAGGTTAATATAAAAACTTTAGCATAGACAGCGTGCCTTGGGATACATGTGTGTATGTACATTTCTGCATATGTATTGAGTTCCCATCCAGAGGTAGTCAGCTGTCCTAAGTAGGAACACTGTGTGAGTGCTTAGCTAGCATTTATTCAAGAGGCTGCATTCCAGAGGGGAGGGAAATGAAAGTGGTGCAACCATCTTTCTCCCTATAAACAGTGTAGCCTTCTTTAATAGATAATAGGTGTTAAAAATGGGCCCTCATTTATGAAATGAGTGGTATTCGAGATGTATTTTGGCTGTTATATTATAGAAATTCTCAGCCCCTGAATTAGAAGAGTAACAATCTAGTTGACCTTTCATTCTTTACCTTTAAAGACAGAACCTGTGCTTGACGAAATAGTCCTGTGTTCAGCCACTGGGTTGGGGGATTTTTGATGGCTCTGAGTCTGACAATTTGCTTAGCTAAATTAGAATATTGATGCATTTGCCTCATGTGAAGCTTTCATGCAGGTTGTTGGAGCATTATAAACTGCAGGAACTTGAGACTTCCCTGAGCTTGTCCAGCACATTTTAAGATTGTTTATATGTCTGTTAGAAAATGTCCATATGTATGGCAGAGTTTGTTTTGAGACTTGTTTTTTCTACAACCTCATAGTGAGGGTTATGGAAAGAGCTAATACACTTACCACATTAGTGGCCATTGATAATTACTAAAAAAAGTAAGTAAATAAGTAAGTGAGTAAATAAATAAATAAAACTACCTTAGTTTAGGACATTTAAAGAGTGCTCCCCTCTTTAGGATCTGCTAAGCAGGTACATTGTTTTTCTTAGATGTTTGAAATCAAATCTGCTGCCTGCTATTTTTGCCTTCTTTTTTTTTCTGTGCCTTTGCCTAAGGTAATCACGGGGAGACTGTATAGCACCCTCAGCCATGATAAAATCTATGATATTTTTGGGCACCTATTTGTAGTACAGGTGCATATTCAAACCAAGTTGATAGACTTACCCTTCATTTGAGGGATGCATTTAATTGGACCTTTCTATTCTAGGGGTTCTTGCTTTCTTTGTAGCCATTCATGAAATACTATACTGGTTTGTTTATTGTTACTATTTTAAGTTCAGGTGATAAATCTGATCTTTGGTAGTACATGTTTGTTAAATAAACTGATTCTTATCTGAACTTGTTATTGACTATTTTCTGATTCCACATTCTATCAGTGACTAAAATTGAGTCAAAATTAAACCAGGTGAAATTTAATCATTACTAAAAATGTTATTTTTTGACTTGAGTTTTAACAAGTCAATTTGTCTCGTTTGTTCATGAGAATAGGGAAGATTTAACTTAATAGCAATTTACTTAGAAAAAGACCAGGAAGTTTAAGTAGGCCTTAAGTTAGTGGAACTAGTATTGTACTGTGGTATACTTGCTATAGGTAGGGACTGGATGAAAGAAGGTGGAAGAGTTAGTCAAAAATGTATAGGAATGACCCATGGGCATGGACAACAGTGTGGGGATTGAATGTGGGAGTGGGGTGTGGGCTGGGTGGAGGGGGCAACGGGGGAAAAATTGGGCCAAATGTAATAGCATAAACAATATAATATTTAAATTAAAAAAAAAGAACAATGTGGGATAAGTAGAGGAGAGGACTTATAAGTAAATAAAGCTGGCATAGTTCTAGTTGATCTTACTGAAAAGCTCCAAGAGATGGCCTTTTGAACCTAATGCATTTCTTATACTTTGTTATAAATAAGAGTGTTAGGAAAATTCTATTTTGTTCTCTTCTCCAGAACAATGCTGTATTGGACCAAGCTAGCTAAAAAAAGTCTTTTAGTAATCATAAAATATCTGAAATACTTTTTGTTGACAAAAAATATATCAAAAAGCTTATACTATTTTAATTAATAAAGGAAAGGTTAAATAAAGAAAACAAATATGACCTTTGGCATTAATAATACAATGTTTAAAGCTTGCACTGTTACACTCTGATTATGTCACATCATGGTGTCTTTTGACATGAATATCTGGGGCTGCATTCTGGCTTTACTATTAGTTAACGTTGTAAGTGACTTAGGCAAGGGATTTGGCCTTATCAAGCTTCATTTTTTTTTCATTTGTAAAATGGTGATTTTATCAGAACTGACCTCCTGGGACTAATATGAGGATTAAATGAGATAGTGTATAAAAGGGATTTGTCACAGTACCTGGTATATAGAAGGCATGTATCCTAAATATCACCTGCTTAATACTATTCTTAACAACTTAATTTTGTACATTCAGAAACTGAGGCTTAAAGTCCACAGATAGTAAGTATAAGCTTAGTGTAAACTCAAGCCTGTTCTCTTCCTAAGCTGGTGGATTTACCTTCTGTCTGTACCCCTTCTCAGAAGCGTTTGGTAAGTGTCTGGAGTTCTGCCATCAATCCGGCAACAGACACCCAGTGGAATGGGCCAGCTCAGCCCTTTTCTTGTTGTCTGAATGGAGAGAAGTGTCCTTGGTGGTTTTAGACCCCAGCTATGATGATCTAAATAGAAAAGGGAAAGAAGGAAGGAGGGATAAAGAGAAAATGGATTAAAAGAAAATAACTTTAAAAAAATAATCAGGAAACTTCCAATGTATTTCTTACCTGAATGACATCATTAGCACTGTTATAGAACAGCTGCTGCAGAAAATCTTCTCTGTGTCTCATGGTACATGAAAGCCCTCTGTCTTCAAGGATTCAGGTCCCTGATTTAAATGGCCTTTCCCCCACTTCAGGTATCTTCAGGGTGTCTTATATGTGGCTCTTCACATATAGAATAAAGTCCCAGTTCTATAAGTGGCATATAAGTTCCTTCATGTTCTGGCCTTTTCACCCTAGCTTTATTTGCTACACCATCCCCACACATATTTTGTGCTTGAGCCATATAAAAAATTACTTGTGTTTTAGTGCTACCCCGGGCTTTCCATGTTACTCCCTAGGTGTTTCTACAGTATATTCCCTTTTTTACCTTTTAAATTCTGAACCATATACATTTGTTATTTATTTAAAAGAAAATCTTATGTATGAGAGGTTAATTGATATGATTATGATTATCTTTGAGTTTGTGCATTAACTGGTAATATATTGGTAGTCCCAGATTAGTAAGGGCTCTTCAGAGAAACAGAACTAGTGAGAAGACTGCTCAGTCCCACAGTCTGCAAGCTGGAGACCGAGGAAAGCTGGCAGTGCAATTCTAGTCCACATTCAAAGGCCTGAGACCCAGGGGAGCTGATGGTTTAAGTTCCAGTCCAAGGGTAGGAGAAGACCCATGTTTCAGCTCAACCAAGCAGGCAGAATGAACTTTCCTTTCCTTCATATTTTATTCTGTTAGGCCCTCAGCAGATTGGGTAGTGTCCACACACATTGGGGAGTGCAGTCTACTTTCCTGAGTCCTCTGGTTCACATGTTAGTCTCATCTGGAAACACCCTCACAGACATACCCAGAAATAATGTTTAATCTGAGCACCCTGTGGCCTGGTCAAGGTGATCATAAAAGTAACCATCACAGGCTCTGAAAAAAGATGTGTTAGGTGCAGATATTTGTTTTGATACAGATTTTTCCCTGTTAGATATGGACACATTCCTAAAAGTTTGGTGTGTGACCCAAAGGGATAAATAACAGTAGCTATAACTAACATTTATTGTGTATATAAACATTTTGAGGGTGTTAATTCATATTCTTACAGCCTTCTGTGGCAGGTGCTATTATTTGTTTTACATACCAGGAAATAGGGGTCAAAAATGATGACTTGCCCACAGAAGAATACACACAGGAAGAATAAGGGGTAGTGCTGAGATTCTAACCTGGGCAGTTTGGCTCCAGACTGGCTCTTAACCATTTACTCTGTCTCTTGGATAGATATTAAGATGGAATTCTTACTTAATCCCTATAATGTTATAATAATTTGTTATATTTACTGTAATAGTTGCTTAATGTGTAACTTCCAGTGTTTGTGCTGCTTTTAGATAAAATCAGATGTGGTATGTTTAGAACTTAATAAAAATTTACATTTTAAAATGCAGGTCAAGGAAGTATAAACATTTTTTTCTTAGTATACTTTTACTGTTTATAGGGATTTACCTATGACCATTTGGGTATAGAAAGGTAGATGATTTTATAGCCTCAAGCCTGTGGTGAGATTAGGATATTTTAAGGGCCAATCTGCTCAAGGCTCTAAATGACTTAGGATTCTTTCTAGCAAATTAGGAGTTTATCTAATTTTAAGGCAGCAGCTTGTCTCAGTTTGGTGGAATAAGCCAAATGTGACATAAAGATTAAACAGAGTCTTTGAGTGCCATTTCCAATTCTGAGATTTTGATTCCCTGCTGGGTTAAAATACCACTTTAAGTCACATAAGAGTACTTTTAAGATTATGTATAACTTTATCTTTTCTTTTAAAAATATAACTAAAATTTCCGTATTGTTCTATTTAACTTATAAAAACTCACACTAACCTTGACTAACTAGATGAAAAAAAAGGATTGTGTAATGAAATGTATTTCATCTAAATTACTTGTATGTGTGGTTCTTTAAAATGATCAGCCTGTACAATTTTAGAATAGGAAGAGAACCCTTGTTAAACAGTGTCCTATTAGAATGCTATCTGTTTATATATGTGGAAATAAAGACCTGCAAAGATTGACTTCCTAAAGTCAAATAGGTCATTAGTGGCAAAACTGGGTTTAGAATTTAAAAATGGAACTACCGTTTCCATTATGTAGCCTCATCTGCTTCAAAATTTGATGGCTATTCAAACTTAACATTGTATTCAAATTGCATAACCTGCTTAGTTTGGGAATCTTTGGATAAAAGCATAACTTGTACCTGTTCTGAGTTATTAAGAATATTGTTTAATGCTCTGCCCCAACCCAGTAGAGATGGCATATGAACGATACCCATCTTTCCTTTCATAAACAACTCATTACTGATACCACCTCACACCGGTCAGAATGGCTGTCATAAACAGATCAACAAAGGGTGCTGGCAAAGCTGTGGAGAATACGGAACCCTAGTACACTGTTGGTGGGAATGCAGACTGGTGCAGCCACTGTGGAAAACAGTTTGGAATTTCCTCAGAAAGCTAAAAATTGAACTGCCCTTTGACCCAGCAGTTCCACTGCTGGGATTATACCCTACGAATCCCAAAACACCATTTCAAAAGAACCTATGCACCACAGTGTTCATAGGAGCACAATTTACAATAGCCAAGTGTTGGAAGCAACCTAAGTGCCCTTCAGTAAAGGAGTGGATCAAAAAAATATAGTACATTTACACAGTTGAATACTATGCAGCAGAAAGGAAGAAAGAACTCCTACCTTTCACAACAGCATGGATAGAACCGGAGAGCATTATGCTAAGTGAAATAAGCCAGGGGGCGAAAGACAAGTACCATATGATCTCACCTACAAGTGGAACCTAACCAACAAAACAAACAAGCAAGGAAAATATAACCAGCAACAATGAAAGAAAAAGAAACCAACAGAAACAAGAGGGAAGGGGGGCGGGGATGGGGAAAGGGAAGGGAAGGATCAAGTCAAGGAACATGTGTGGAGGACCCATGGACAAAACCAAAGTGGGAAAGGATTGAGGGAGGTAGGTGGGGGAGGGGGGTGGGGGAAAGTGGTGGGGGGAAAGTGGTGGTGGGAAGGTGGAGACAAATGTATTTGAACAGTAAATATAAAATATATTTTAAAAAAAGTTGATGCAAAAGAAAAAGTTGATGTAAAAACTATTTGAATGAGAAAAAAAATCCTTTGAATGTCTGGCAGCTTACTGTCATTCGTAATTTTAGTAATAAAAAGAAAAATAACATAAACAACTCATGACTTAGAATTTCCCTGAATTTAGAAAATTAAGTAAATTATCAAATAATTTTGTGTAAAGGTTTTAGTATTCTGAAATATCATTTGAAGGTTATCTTTGGCAAGATAATTTATAAATATTCCCTTAGTCTACTTCTGAATTATTTAACCTAATAAATTGATGCTGTCACAATAATTATAGGGCCGGATTCTACCAGTTTAGTAGCAATGTGGTTATAAATGAACATATGTATAGTATTTAGTACTACCCTAGGAAATAATGTTTGTTAGGATCATGTCTAATGTTAACTGTGGAAGAACTTGGTGTTTTCTGTTCCCAAAGTAAGAATAACATTTTCTTATGTGCATTTTCTTTCTTCAGACTTTTGATAAAATTCTTGTTGCTAACAGAGGAGAAATTGCATGTAGGGTGAGTAGAATTTTAATCTTATTTTTCCATTTTACTTGATGAATTTTATTATTATTATAATCCCTTTAAATATGAATCACTATTAATAGGTAACATTGATTATATTTTAAAATAGGTTATTAAAACTTGCAAGAAGATGGGCATTAAGACAGTTGCCATCCACAGTGATGTTGATGCTAGTTCTGTAAGTATATTTATGTTTTATTTGAATCAGGACCTTATTTTGGTCAAATAGAAAAAAAGTGAGAGGTGTAGTTTTTTTTTCCTTTTGCCTGAAAAGGGTATACATACAATTGAAAAGAAAAATCTACTTAATTACTTACTCTCCTTTTAAGCAAAAAGGGAGCATCATGTCTTCAATGTATGCCTTAACTATTTTTTTCAAGGCTTAAAAAACCCAGAAGATCCCTGGCTGGTGTGGCTCAGTGTATGGATTGTGCCAGCCTGTGAACCAAAAGGTCACAGGTTCAATTCCCAGTCAGCAAGCACATGCCTCGGTTGCAGGCCAGGCCCCCAGTTGGGGATGGGTGAGAGCAACCGATTGATGTATCTCTTGCGCATTGATGTTTCTTTCCCTCTCTTCCTCCCTTCTCCTGTCTCTAAAAATGAAATAAATAAAATCTTTAAAAAAAATGAAATAAATAAAATCTTAAAAATGAAATAAATAAAATCTTAAAAAAAATCTAAAAGAGAAATTGCTAGACTGATTGCTGGTCACCAAGTAGATGTAAGTAAAGCATGAGAAAGTTAGAGTCAAAGATTAATGAAATGTTTATACAATGTTGTCTTATGAGAACACATTTCCCCACAGCATAACTCCAGTATCACTAAGGGACTGCTATAATTGTTTTACTTTCCTCAGTGCTTTACTGTGTTCAGCTGAAAGTTTGATAAATGAAAGATAGCCTAATAACTAATTGAACATGAACAAAAGAAGGTATATCATAAAGCAGTGAATGATATATAATTTTATTGGGTATTTTTAGCACAGCAGGCTTTGTTTTTAAGCAATAATGAACTGTGAATGAGTAGAAAAAAAATTCCATGGGAAAATAATGTAAAATTATTGGAACTTTATGGAATGAAATATAAGTAGTTGTACTTTAATATGTTACTGTTTTTCATTTGTTCACACTACTTTTGATGATGAAACCTATTGGTAATGTCACCTTTTATTGTATAGTAATTTAACACAAGAATAATTAATTTTGTGGTTTCTTATTTTATGTGAAAGTATGCTCATTTTGCCTTATTATAACTCTTCCTTTTTTAAAAAAAAGGAAACAAGTGCAAGCAGCCACTCTAATTTTCCCAAAATAAAGGTTATTTTATCTAGTTTATTTGATGAGAACTTTTAAAAAATTCAGATTTACATAAAAAATTATATTAAGCAATTAAACTTGCTTTGCATACGTACTGTCTGATTTTTTTAAAAATATTGGTTTCTGGCTTCTTTACTAATTTAACTGTGATAATTGCAATAGTAGTTTATATTCATCATAGGATATTCATAGAATAATGAGAAAATTGTTACTATTTAATGTTTTCTGATTAGTAAACTAAGGCATTTTATGAAAAGCAAAACTCTCCAGAAAAAAGTTTGTGTCACCATTAAGCTAGTTAATAGATTTAAAATTAATTCTTCTCATCCTGGGTTTATTTTCAGGGTATTAGCTCAGGAGACGTTTTTATTTATGGATAAATTGAGAGAGAAAAAAGTTTGAATTGTGGACAGTTGCTGTTTTTATTTCAAATCTGATAGTAACCTTTCATTTACTATTTTTTTCATACCAAAACATAGTTTATTTTCTATGTTGTGTTCTCATGGAAGTGACTGTTGGTATGGATAACAACAAAATTTTTATTTTTTCCTATATATTTACATTTCAGTGTTGGTATTGTAGAATAATTTACCTCTGTAAGTTTTGACTCCAAATAGCATGACTAATTATTCCCATTCTTATATTTCTAGCTTTGTATTCTGATTTAGAGGTAGACTGTCGCTTTTCAGACTTTTGAAAAAACCAGTTTCAAAACAGTTGGTCTAAGTTTTAAGTCTTTGTCATTTACTTCCTTCCTAAAGCAGAGGTAATAGTTTTAGGTTTTAAAGACTTTCACCTGCTGAAAAGTCTTTTGGCTGAAAGTAGAAGTGTGTATACCAGAGAGTATAATACATAATTTAGAGTAAGTTTTTCCAGGATCCAAAACAGAAGCAATTCATGCTCTGTCAAAACTTTCTCTTAATATGACCTACTTTAAGTCAGTTTCTCGAATGATACTATTAGGAGAAGTGGGATATTAATGATGGTTAGAATGATCAAAGTTTAATTTAAGCCTCAGCCGCAGAGCCAAATCTGCTATTTGGTTTTTGCTTCAGTCTCAAGACTGTCAAAGAGGTGAATTCCTCTAACAGCATATTTTGCTTCCTTAACATGTAATCACAGAGGTTACCATTATATCTAATCAGCTTTACAATATTGGTAATAGGAATAAGGCAGGCTATTCAGATGAATTGTTAATGTTTCAATGTTTATTTTTTCAGGAAGTGAGCATTTTCAATGTTTATTTTTTCAGGAGGTAAGCGTTTTCAAAGGAGTAAAAAATCTTACATACTTTGTATGTTAATTTTACAAATTAAAATATAAATATTACTGCAGTGGGAAAATAACAGTTGATTCTAAATGCTTTTAATTTTATGTTAAAAACAAGTAACTTATTAAACAGTTAAGCAGGTGAAAAAGACTGACAGTTACTGCAACTATTAAATGATAAGTCACACAAAAAAGAGCCAAATAACTTGCAAATAAAGTGTAATGGAAAAAGTCGGCTTTTAAAGATGATTATATAGTTTTTTTCTATTGGTTTTCTTCCCCCCATCATGTTATTTAGAATTGTCTTCAGTCTTCTTGTCTCTTTGTTCTTACATGTAAATTTTAGGATGAGCTTGTCAAATTAGACGCATACCCCCACCAATTTTAGCTACTATGAACAAGGTTTCTATAAACACTCTTGTGCAAGTTTTTTTGTGAACATGTGCCTATAGTTTTCTTGGGTAAATATGGAGACTTGCAGTTACTGTGTCATATCATAGAGTAGATGATGGGTAAGCAACCTCTTTCTGTTTGGGTAATAGATATGTTAGACAGACTTTGAATAGTAGGTATATCCAGACTTTGTATATGGTCTCCCTTGCTTATTCTTTGTGTATGTGTATTTATAGTCTTTTAAAACTGTAAATACCATTTTAATTTGAGGGTTGTACAAACTGTCTTTAGATTGAATTTGGCTTACGGGTCAGTGGTATTTTGTTGACCCTTGTGATAAATGCTTAACTTTATAGGAAGCTGCCACAGTTTTCTGACATACTTGTGCAATACAGTACTCCCACATATAACGTATGAGAGTTCAGGTTGCTCAACATCCTTGTGTACACTTGATGATATCAATCCTTTTGATTTTTGCCATGCTAGCAGCCATTAGATGTTATCTCATTGTGGTTTTAATTTATATTCCCTGATGAATGATTTTGAGTATCTTTTCATGTTACTGGCCATTCATTTATATTCTTAAGTGTTCAAATGTAATAAAAACTTGGAGAGTAGTACAGTGAATGCCTATATACCCTTAATGTGGATTCACCAGTTAACATTTTGACACATTTTCTTATATTTCTATCCATATATATGTGCGTATAAACATGTTTGCTTCCCCTCCCCTCTCCCTCCCTCCCTCTTTCCCTCCCTCTCTCTCTTTCTCTTTCTTTTCTTTCTTTTTCTTTCTTTCTCTCTCTCTCTTTCTTTTCTTTCTTTCTTTCTTTCTTTCTTTCTTTCTTTCTTTCTTTCTTTCTTTCTTTCTTTCTTTCTTTCTTTCTTTCTTTCTTTCTTTCTTTCTTTCTTTCTTTTCTTTCCTCCCTCCCTCCCTCCCTTCCTTCCTTCCTTTCTTTATTTCTCTCTCTCTCTCTTTCTTTCTTTCTTTCTTTCTTTCTTTCTTTCTTTCTTTCTTTCTTTCTTTCTTTCTTTCTTTCTTTCTTTCTTTCTTTCTTTCTTTCTTTCAGAATTTGCTAAATAATATTTCCACAACTTATGTGCTAAATAAATTACAGACACTGTGGAATTTCACCTCCAAATATTTCAGTAGTCATTTCCCAGGATTAAGGACATTCTCTTTCATATCTATAATACCTATGATAGCTAAGAAAATTACCAATTCTATAATATAATCTAATACACAAACCATATTCAAATTTACCTAGTTGTCTCCAAATGTCTTTTATAGTATTTTTCTTTGGTTCACAGTTCAATCAAGGTTAATGAATTTCATTTGGTTATTATGGCTCTTTAATCTAAAATAGTCCTCCTACCCTTTCTCCTTTTTTTATTTGATTTTGATGATCTTGATGTTTTGATGTCAAGCCAATGGGCTTATAGATATTCTGGGTTTGTTGGATAGATTTCCTTATAAATAGATTCAGAGTAAATAGTTTTTGACACAAATACCTCATAAATCTACTTTTGTATCATATCAAAAGGTTCATAATGTTGGATGCTTCTACTGGTTATGCTAAACTTGATTACTTTGTTCAGATAGCTTTTTACCAGATCTCTCCATTATAATGCTGTATTTTCCCCTCTTTTAAAATTAGTTTTTGAAGGTTAGTCTCTGAATCCATGTGAATAATTTGGTTCCTGACAACCTCCCATCTAACAGTTTTTCATGCAATGATGAAAATTGCCTGACACATGATTAGTTTGGCTGCATTTGTTGCCTTTGCTGTCTGTTGAGAATTCTGTCAGTCTACTTTCCTTTTTGAATCTCCTTGTTTTTTTATATTGTTTTTTCTTATGTATTTGAGTCCTTTTTTCACGTCTTCTTTATTTTTAGTATACTTAAAGGTTCTATGATAGTATTATTTCAAGTTTCTAGGTGTCTATTTTATTTCTGACTCTTCTTCACAGTGAATCGCTTCCTCATGTGTGTAGGTTTTGGCTTGTGACCTCATTTTTGCAATCTTTATTGTTGAAGTCCAGCATGGTTTAGGTTGCAGATATGACCCTGTGGGTGGGTGCTGTGTTTGTTTTTACTGGAACCTCTAGGATACCACTAGTCTGGGACTAATTTTTGTCTTGTTATGAAGGTCGCTGAATTATGAGGATAGTGGAAAAAAAAACACAAAAGGAATCAACA